ACCAATCAAGTACATAAGAGTTTGTCTAGCATAACACAAGATCCTAAGATAATCTCAAGAGTCATCGAGAATGGTATATCGATAATATAGGGTATGATTAAAAAGTATAGTTGATCTCACGACTATAATTAATATTCTAAAAATTCATAATGGTCTCATAGATATTCTGTAGAATATTGGCATATCGAACTGATCAGAAACCATTTAATATATATTCTATTCATGTGTCAATAGAATTATTGGCGTGTGTGTATGTATATATATATGTGTGTGTGTGTGGAGTAATGTGGAGTAAATTGCACCGTAAAGACTTGAGGTTAATATGTACTTCATATGTGGAGTAATGTACTTTGACCATGACCAATTACATTTGCACTCTACTCGGGGTAGATATGCATGTGTTGAACGCATCATGATGTACATAGAAATAATAGTTAATTGAAGAAAGAATTTATTCCTCATAATTGTTTTAGAGAAAATATTTCACTTCTCATATCTACTTTGATCATAAACTCATTGACAAATGAAAAAATATGTTCATTTTGGGGTTTAAATATGATTGATATGGATCAACTAGAAAGAATAAGAGAAAATGACTAAGTTATTAAATAGACACGGCTGCAAGTTTTAGATTTACTCAAGTGTTCGTGAATGAAAGTACCATATCACTATGGATGTTTTAAATTGGATTGAAATTTTATCGTCTGATCTGATCTGTTCCGATCTGTGTTGATCTATTTAAGTCTTGTCTGATCTTTGTGTATTTTCTAATTGTTGAGGTCTTGTTTGGTCTGATCTGGTCTGATATATTCAAGTCTGGTATGATATGATCGGGTTAAGTCTATCTGGTCTGTTTTAATATGGTCTGAAACTGAAAATAGTCTAAGTAAAAACTTACTTTGAGCTATATTAGTTTGTATAATCATCACAAATGTCCTTATATATTAAGTTTGTTTGATAAATCATTGTATGCTCATTAATTAAGGTTTATTTTTCCTTTTTTCACAAATTTTTATTGTGAAATTACTGCATTACTCTTTAAATATATTATAATTTAGGCTACCCTTATACACTTTCCTTCTCAATCTATTCTTTTTATCATTACATAAAAGAGCAGCATAGTCGCCATCATGGAGAACAACCATTTTAAACCGCTAAGGTTCAACCACAGTCGTACACAACCAAGAAATGACTAATAATATACCTAATTCAGAAACATTTGTATTTTGGTGACTACACTTCTGTTATAAATGTTCCTAAAGGAGCAACCTTCCTCATTATTTCAGACAACTTACTATATTTAATTTAATCATATATTGTTGTATGTTCTTCCTTTTGAATCTTTTATATATCGTCAGAAAGATCGTTTTGAGTTCTAAAACTAGTGTTCTTACTTCATTTACAATATATTAATTAAAGAATAGGTACAAATTAACCTGAAATCCATAAACATTTTCGATTTCACTCTGAACTCGTGTAATATTTGATTTGATCATATCTTGTTGTATTTTGTTGCGATGCAAGCGTTTTTTATCACGTGGAGAGATCTTATCGAGTACTACATTGTTACTAGTTACTACATGTTGAAAAGGAATACACATTGATCACTAATATAGAAACAAAATATATACCACCATTATCAATGAACATTTTAGCATTATCATTTTATTTTTATTGGATACTACACCTCTGTCACCCCTAATATTGGGATGGAAGGAAATAGTGTGGTTTTTAAGAAAAGTAAAATTATGTGCGTGATGATGAGTTGATAAAGTGGGAATAAAGTAAGAATGAATTAGAGTCACACAAATGTTACCAAATATGGTATGAGACAATAATAGGGGCACATCCAAAAATGAAAAAATGAGACAATTATAGGGAGCGGACGGAGTACTAAACAATCTTTAAGACTGACTTTTGGCCATTAATATCTACTATTATGTGCCTCTCAATCTATAATAAATTAACATCTCAAATATATATATATATATATAGGTTTTGGTTCAAATAAGAACATGATCTTAGGAGAGAAATGAGAACGAATCTGGACTGTTAGATTTGCTTTAAGTGAAATTCAATGTGCATTAGATGAAACTATAATGTGCATTAGGTGAAATTGAAATGTGCAACACAAAGCGTATGATACAATGTCATTAAGTGAAACTGAATTGTGCATTAGGTGAAATTGAAATGTGCACTAAATGAAACTGAAATGTGCAGAATAAAAGGTACGATGTGATGTTATTTTTGTACATTTTATTCCGCACATTTCAGTTTCACCTAATACACAATTGGGTTTAAATTTTTATTCTGCACATTTCAGTATCATGTAATACACATTTCAGTTTCACCAAATGCACATTTCCGTTCCACATAATACAATCCAACGATCCAGATTCATTCTTATTTCTCTCCTGGGAGTCCGTTCTTACCGGAACCGCTCCCTATATTTATATATTCTATATATATATATATATATATATAGAATTAGGTTCAAGTGAGAAAATGATCTTAGGAGAGAAATGAGAATGAATCTGGACCACTCCCTATACACACACACACACACACACACACACACACACACACACACACACACACACACACACACACACATATATATATATATATATATATATATATATATATATATATATATATATAGGTTCAATTGAGAAAATGATCTTAGGAGAGAATTAGGTTCAATTTTACATAATATAATCCGACGGTCTAGATTTATTCTCATTTCTCTCCTAAAAGTCCTTTCTCACTGGAACCACTCCCTATATATATACCCCAACGTGTTGCACAATGAAGCTTGTATATTGCAGATTTGCACATTTTCACATTTTTACAATATTTACCAAAATGCCTGTGTGTTTATTTAAATAGGCTTAATTCAAGCAAATTGAAAATGTGCAACAGAATAGCTCCATTGTGCACCACGTTGATTTAAATGTGAGTGTTCTCACGTTAAGCATCGTTCTCACTGAAACCTCTCTCTCTCTCTCTCTCTCTATATATATATATATATATATATATATATATATATATATATATAGAGAGAGAGAGAGAGAGAGAAATAAGGGAAAAGTACAGAGAAGGTACCTGTGGTTTGAGCCGTTTTTGATAGGGACAAGTGTTTTATTTTTAACAAAGTGAAACATGTGTTTCAATTCCGTCATCACAGCTGGGGCATGACGTCTAATAATGTTAGAAAAATTAACTCCGATTCTCAAAAGTCTCTGAAAAATTAAAAGAAAAATACTAGGAGGTGCACCTCTTCAAGAAGACCTCCATACCATCTTTGTTTTTTAGCCACCCTGTTGTCAGAAGATTCACCGAAAAAGTGATATTAACAAGTTATTTTTTAAAAATTAATCCAAATAGAGCAAAAAAAACAGAAGAGGACTATAGTTTGTTGGTCTCCTTGACGAGAGACGTACCTCCCGATATTTTTTTCTTTTAATTTTTCGGAAATTTTGAAAATTAGAGTTAACTTTTCTAACAGCGTTTATTTAACGAAATTTATTAAAAAATTATTAAGAAAGGTACAAAACATTGATGAAGGAAGTAAAATAAAGACAAGGCAAGCTAGTTAATCAATCGCGTTTGTTAACGAGTTTGTACTGATCTCAATCAAATGTTGTTCGTTTTCTTCATTTTTCTGGAAATCACCGTTGTGAAACCTTCATCGTATAGGATAGAAAAGGAGGAGCACGCTTGTGAGAATGATGACAATATCATTCAAGAAATATAATCCTATTTCACTACTCTATGTAGGATAGAAATGGTGAGAACGATTGGTGAACATGACACTGCATATGTTCTTTTGATTAGGGTAATAAAGTCTTTTCCAAACACTGTTAATTATCTTTAACAGATTTGTAACGGAGTAGAGTGTCCATATTAATTGTTCTCAAAACATGGTGAAAAGTCCAATTATTTGAATTAAGTGGGTGCAAACTCAGATTTTTCTTTTGTAGTATATATATATGACTTTATATTAAATTTAGGAAAAATTCACAACAATAATCCCACCTTTGAACGGACGGCTCATAATAATTCCTCCTTTGCGTAATTCAAGAATAATCCCACTTTTGCAGCTCATCTTCTCTCATTGGACTCTGATCGGTTAAAAACCTACTATACAAGGTTTTTTTTGTCTTTTTTGGAAATCTAACATAAATAATCTCTCTTTTACATAAAAAAACTATTGAGAAAAAAGGAAAGCAAAAATATAAACAGATTAAACAAATGGATTAAAAAAGATAAAAATTTGGTATAGTAAGTCATCAACGGGTCAGGATCTAATGAGAAAAGATGAGCTGCAAATGTGGGATTATTTTAGGATTACGTAAAGATATACTCCCTCCGATTCACAAATAAGTTCCACATTTGACTTTACACATATTAAGAAAATAAATTTGACTTTACTGTGGAGTGCACTGTTTGGCACTGTTTGAACACTGTTTGAACACTGTTTGACACTGTTTGACACTGTTTTGATGTAGATAATTTGCCAAATGAAGAAATGTTTGAAAGTGGAACTTAATTTTGAATCTGCCCGAAAAGGAAAGATGAAACTTGTTTCAGAAACGGATGGAGTATTATTATGAGCAGATCAGTCAAACGTGAGATTATTATTGTCATTATTTAGGCCACATAAAAACATTTAACTTAGATATAATCGATGAATCATTTTCATTGGGTGAAAGTTCAATTGTAAACTTAATTGAAGGATGAAATTGAATAAGCAAAAACAAACCTCACATGAAAACGTACGTTACAAAACCTATCAACTTCGTGAGCCACGCTCCACGGCAAACGCAAAGAAAAAAACAAATTGGGAAATGGAGGGAGGGCAATGTAGTCAATAAAGGAAAGCTTAAGAGATGCGCTACCTGGCCTGAACAAAAAACCAAACAGAATCTGAGTGGATATTTGCCTTTCGGCTTTTACTTTTGTGTCTGTCACATTCCCATTTCTCCCCTGCTGCACCCATTGTCAAACCGAACCACAGACAGATTGTAGGGAGAGATGAAAAACTGGGAAAAGTTGGAGAGAGAAACATCAGCCAGCCCCTCTTTTTTAATGCTCAATTTCTTGCTTTTCTGTGAAGCTCCACTAACTTTCACTTTTAATTTATTTTCGTTGCTGATATTTAATCGACAACCCCCTCCGTAATAAAAGCCAGCCCAATTTTTAGACTATATGACAGAAACATAGCCCGTGAAATGAGAAGGCTGTTCTTCTTCACACCCTTATATTCCTCTCTCACAAGTTTACAGTTCTAGGTGTGTTTTTGCCATTGCCTTGTTTAAAGACTGCACCTTTAGTGTTATTTTTGTGGTTGGGCTGGCTTAGGAAAGACCAACAAACTGAGATTAAGGAAGTGGGAATCCAATGAGGGGTGATCAATCTCAGTCTTATGCTTGACTCTGTTCGGCTGTGAAGGGAGTGTTTGCTTGCACTGAGAGAGTGGGATAGGGGAGTTTCAAGACCCTGAGAAAAAGAACCAGGTATATAGCTACAACTCATGATTGATCTTTTGGAAAGTGGGCAGTGGGCTTTTGGGTGTATCTTTGTGTGGGTTTATATTTTCTGTAAAATTTCATGATCTTAATAGTTTGAAAGCTTCATGCCACGTCCATTTGAATTTAAGCTGTACTATTTCCAATCCCCCCATGTTTCCTTCACACTTGTTTTTTCTGTAATAATACATTGTGTGTGTGTGTGTGGGGGGGGGGGGGGGGGGGGGGGTTAGATACTAATTGCAGAGTTGCTAGATTTACTAATTCCGAGCGAATTAAGCTGTGTGAGTTTGGAATTACTTCTATAGTTGACCACTCTGATGCGTATATTCAAAGCTCATAAATCTTTGTGTATGAAATTCTTGGAATGGAAGAAAATTATGTCTTTTTTGCATTCAAGAGTTTTCTTGTGACAATAGATACCAATCCCAAAAATTTGTCCAATTGAAAAGAAATTTTCTTACTATTTATATATGGAGAGTTGTGTTTGTTTTCTACAATGAGGCCAGAATTTTTTTTCCCTCTTTTATTTGAAGCATTAGAAATTCATTTTTGCAAAACTAACATTGTTGTTCTGAAATTGATGTGTTGAAGTGATGATGGCGGTGACATCAGCCTGCAAGGAAGACAGTGGAAAAATGGGATTCGACAATGGGAAATATGTCAGGTACACACCAGAGCAGATCGAAGCTCTGGAGAGGCTATACCATGAGTGCCCCAAACCAAGTTCACTCCGCAGGCAACAGCTCATCAGGGAGTGTCCTCTTCTTTCAAATATTGAGCCCAAACAGATCAAAGTTTGGTTTCAGAACAGAAGGTTTTTTGTTTTGTTCTTCTTTAATACTCTGGGGTATCAATTAAGTTATTAATTCATTTATTTTTTTTATTCTAAAAATATACCTGTATTGGTATGCAGATGCAGGGAGAAGCAGCGGAAAGAGGCATCGCGCCTCCAAGCAGTGAACAGAAAGTTGACTGCAATGAATAAGCTGTTGATGGAGGAGAATGATAGGCTTCAGAAGCAAGTCTCACAGTTGGTGGCTGAGAACAGTTATTTTCGCCAGCACAATCCCAATGTAAGCAATTTCAAAGGAAAGCAAATTTGGAGAAATTAAGGGGGTATTTGGATCTACTTCTTAAAACTGTTTCTGATTCTATTTCTGATTTAAAAAAAGAAGCAGAAGCTGAATCAATTCCAAACACCCCCTACAAATGCTTCAAACTTGATCAGTATTAGATATTTGTTCAAACTCTTTTTGTTTATAAATTTCTATTATATCAAGACTAAGAAAGCTAAACATATGTAGACTTAAAAGAGTTTAATAGAATTTGATTGTTTTTATTTTCCAAGATAAACAAAACAATTTTTTCATAACATTTATTTGTTTTCTCTACCATTTCCCAAGTTCCAGACATAGGCTTAGGGATAAAGTGGATATTTTAATGAGGATTTGTTGCAAGTCTTTTGTTCAAGGGAATTCTAAGTATATATTGAGAGAAAGAGAAATATGGGAAAATGAGAAAACATGATTTGATGAGATTTTTCCTTCCATGGTTTCCTCTTTTATCTAATTCCCATTCCCCTTCAAATGGATATTTTTTATATTGTTTAAAAGTAGGTTAAAGTCTTACTTTAATTTTTTTTTATGTTTTGTGTCACAGACAGCTCTGACTACAACCGATAACAGTTGTGAATCTGTGGTGACAAGTGGTCAGCACAATTTAACTCCCCACCGTCCTCCAAGAGATGCAAGTCCTGCAGGGTAAGTGGGATAATTTGTTTAACACTAACGGTTATAATTTGTATTTATATTCTACGCTTATGGAGGTGAATTTATATTACTATTCCACTAGACTCATGTCCTTAGCGGAGGAGACTTTAACAGAGTTTCTGTCCAAGGCCACTGGAACTGCTGTGGAGTGGGTCCAAATGCCTGGAATGAAGGTTAGGGCCTCACCAATTTTAACTTCTAACTGTTGTAATCCATGAATTCTGTGTTTTTAAAAGAGTTAAAGAAGGTGTTTAGCTAAAATATTATGTTAAAGACATCTTTTGATTTGAAAAAAAGATGTAAGCTCAAAACGTGTTTTATTCGAGTTTTGTCAGTTGTTTGAATAAAGTTTATTCTAAATGTCTTTCGCGCGAAATGATTGAAAAGGAAAAAACAATTTTTAGATGGCTTGGGTTTTTAAAAAAACAAAAAAACTAAATCAAGAAGTTAGAATTTGTAGCATCTTGATTTTAGTGTTTTGAGAGTCTTTCAGTATCTTTTAAATCACTGCAAAAGCGCCACGCCATACACTTAATGTCGGAGATTGTTACTTAAAATAACGTTTTGGAAGCCAAAGCGCTGAACCAATCAGCCCCATACTATGGAATTTTATACCATGATGTATTGTTTTTACTGTCATCTTTTTTCTCTGTTGATCCTTTGTTTGACTGTTGGGGTTTTTTAGACTCACATTTCTTTACTATTCTTTATCATCAGTTCATCGGTAGGACTCCATTTTCTGTAAAATGAAATGGTTGGCCGTTGGCTGATATTAAATTTTTCTTTAGTCTTTTATTAAAAAATTATGAGCTTTTTTCTTCGAATGAATATTACATTGAAGTTTTTTAAACTTATGATATGCATGACAGTATGACCCATTCATTATGTATTCTCCTCCTTTTCTTCTCTTGCAGCCTGGTCCGGATTCCTTTGGAATCATTGCTATTTCTCGTGGTTGTGTTGGTGTAGCCTCACGTGCATGCGGTCTCGTGGGTATGGAACCTACAAGAGTAAGTGTCAGCGCAACAATCTTATCTTTAGTTTGATACTGTGACAGCATGCAATGTAATCAAATACGAAGTATATTTTAAATGTAAACTTACATCACAGTATTACACATTACATTCCATTACATCTTACCAAGTTACACCATAGTGCTCTTTGCTTTACCGTTTCGAAGTGCAAACATAATATTCTGTCATTTAAACCAGGTTGCTGAAATCCTTAAAGATCGGCCATCATGGTTTCGTGATTGCCGAGCCGTGGAGGTTTTAAATGCAATGTCTACTGGCAATGGGGGAACCATTGAGCTTCTATACATGCAGGTTTGTTTTTTAGTAAGGAGCATTTTCCACTTTTGGTCCACGATTGTTAAGGTGCTCTTGTGTTAGGTCTCTGTTTTTCATCTTTCCACCATTGGTCCTTTCCAGCAGCTTGTTTGTGAAAATCAACTCAAAATGGTATAGGTTGGCCGGATAAGTGGTCAGAACGACCATAAGTAGAGAGTAATACGTAGCTGGGTAACAAACGTGAAATGACTTAATAATCGTGTGACCAGAGTGAAAGTTTTGACATGTTTTATCATATATTTGCTGAATTGTCTCAAAAACATGTGTATGGTTATTTGAATCAGCTATATGCACCTACCACTTTAGCACCAGCTCGTGACTTCTGGTTACTGCGATATACGTCCGTTATGGAAGATGGAAGTCTTGTGGTAAGTCTCAACAACAAATAAAAATAGCCTAAAAAGGGCTTTAAGCTATTGAAAGTTACAAATAATCAAGGTATTGTGAAGTTTACCGCCTTTGTGTACATTCTTTCTAGATATGTGAAAGGTCACTGAACAACACTCAGAATGGTCCTAGCATGCCACAAGTGCAGCATTTTGTGAGAGCAGAAATGATGCCAAGTGGGTATCTCATAAGGCCTTGTGAAGGGGGTGGATCAATCATTCATATAGTTGACCATGCTGATTTTGAGGTGAATGAATGAAGTTCTTTATTAAATACTGATTCTTTTGGCCTTTTGGGATGATTTTTGTTCCTATTTTACTGATCGTAAAAAATCATCACATTCTCATTACAGCCTTGGAGTGTTCCTGAGGTCTTGCGTCCATTATACGAGTCATCGACACTGCTTTCCCAGAGGACAACACTTGCTGTATGACTGATTTGTCTATATTTACACTTTACAAACTCTGATTAGTCCAATGCTTCTATAGAACACTGCCTACTCTAACGTTGTTATATACGCTGTATGCATCTTTTTAGGGTAAATATAATAACAGATATTTAAAAATTATACGTAGTATAAATTTTGCAAATTGATCACAAATGCATCTTACCATAGACAAAATTACCCTTATTTGTTACTTTGAGAATTGTCAAAGTTCAATGTAGGGAAATAAAGTCTAAAGGATAAATTGGCAAAAAAGATATTTAAATATCAAATATTTTTTGAACTGATACTAATTTACCTTACCATAACTAGAACTACCCTTAATTATTACTCCGTATTTCATAAATGGTTGAGCTCAATGTAGGTCTATAGGATAAAGTTAAAGTGTAGAATAGGTAAAATAATACGGAGTAATAATTGATGCACCATATATTTGCTAGATGGACATATAAATATGGCCACAAAATCCAAAAAGTATGGACTGCGTAAATAGGACGGAGGGAGCATAATGTAGTACTAGCTTATTTATGTAATTGTATAAGTTTCTGAGGGTATGTATGCTTATGCATTCTACATCTTGTCAACCTTTTATTCCATCATGTAAGTCCTAATTAAGACATGGTATCACTTTCCAGGCTTTACGTCACTTAAGGCAGATTTCACAAGAAATTTCTCAGCCTAATGTGGCTGGTTGGGGACGAAGGCCAGCCGCTTTGCGTGCACTTAGCCAAAGATTAAGCAAGTAGGTTTCTGATCTCAAAATCCCATGTTTTCTCCTTCTAAATATGCATCTAGGGATATCCAGGGTGTATATACTTAATTTTGTAATATTGCATTGCAGGGGGTTTAATGAGGCTGTGAACTGTTTTACGGATGAAGGATGGTCGATGGTTGAAAGCGATGGCATTGATGATGTCACCATTATGGTGAATTCCTCTACAGCCAAAGTGATGGCTGCAAATCTTTCTTATGCCAATGGACTTCCACCTATGGGTGGTGGTGTGCTATGTGCCAAGGCTTCCATGCTTTTGCAGGTAAGGATAATAATAAGAATAGGACTCAAGGGTGTCTTAAGTTACCATAAAATGCTACAGAAATGAAAAGAGTGCCAAGGAAAGTTTTTCTTGAGTTTGCTTTTACCTTGGAAATTGCAATAGAAATGGAGGGTGGCTTTCTTTTAGTTTTTTGTTATAGGTATTTGGATTTCGTAATCTTTATATAATAGACTAAATAATATAATGAGTCTTAAGAAACACCTAAACAAACATATCAAGTTTTAGCCTATTTTCACCCCCACAAGACTTAACACAACACAAAATCTAATGGAGTATATTAGTGTCCATAGCATGATAGAAAGCAATGAGTTACATATTCTTTATATAGATCTTCGTCTCCAAGTAAAAAAGTAAATACTCTCTGCACAGAGTGTAGCTTGAAATTGTATCACTATATATAATAAAAAATCTTGGAATTCCTTCCTTGATTACTGGAAGAGAGCATCTTTATTTACTTACTTTTCCCCCCAGAATGTACCTCCTGCGATCCTTCTAAGGTTTCTGCGAGAGCACAGATCAGAATGGGCAGATAGCAGCATTGATGCTTACTCAGCTTCTGCAGTCAAATCCAGCCCTTGTGGTCTCCCAATAGCCCGAACAGGAAGTTTTGGAGGCCAAGTTATTCTTCCCTTAGCTCAAACCATAGAGCATGAAGAGGCAAGCCTGTTTACTTTTCTAGTTCAAAATGACAAGACTTTATTACTCAATTTGCAATATAATAATCTTTACTTCTTTAATCTGAAACAGTTTATGGAGGTAGTTAGACTTGAAAACATGGGCCACTTTCGAGAAGACATGATGGCTGCGGTTGACATCTTTCTGTTACAAGTAAGTTAATCTGATCAGAAGTATACTCACAAGACATGTTAGACTTTTCTCATACTATAAGACATTATTATTCTGTAAATGTATCTTTGTTTTGCCTAATCCTTTGCATTTATTTCCCCAGCTTTGCAGTGGGGTGGATGAGAATGCAGTAGGCACAAGTAGTGAGCTCATCTTTGCTCCTATAGACTCCTCTTTCGCTGATGATGCACCCCTTCTACCCTCCGGTTTCCGGATCATTCCTCTAGATTCTAGAGCGGTAAGTAATTAATCTCCTCTCTTTGTAACTCTTCAGGTGCGTGTGGTTGGGGAGTTTTTGGGGAGGAAAAGGGAGATTGATTTCTTTTTACTAATTTCTCATTATTTGCAAAGTTCTCCACTTGCAAGATTACTCAACCAAACAAGGGCTTAGGGGGTTGGAGGGGAAGAGTTTGGAGGCTTACTCATCTTCAAACTAAGTGTTTCTAAAAACAAATAAAAGATGATTGAAATGTTATATGATTGCATGTAATTTTTAATATTTTAGTCTTTCCATTTTTACAAAATCTCAAATATATATCAGAATGTAGACTTCAAACCCTTCCCCACCAAAGTCCAAAACCCACCCTTCCAAATCGATTTTTAGTGTCAGTTTGGATAGAGGGTTTTGGAGGCTTAGTTTTCCTGATAAATATAATGTTTCTAAAGAGTAAAAAATGTGATTGAAATATTAGTCATAATTATGTTAATCGTCCACTTGTGTAAAATCTCAAATATATATCCAAAGCCCTCTCCAAAATCTTCTGTGCAACTTTATCAGTCTGTTTGTCATTGTTTACTTATTGCTTGCAACGTTGTCACACGTCTTGCAGGATTCCCTTACCCCAAACCGAACACTTGACTTAGCGTCAACTCTTGAGGTTGGAACTGGTGCGACCCGTCAAGCCGGTGATCAATCTAATAAGCAGTGCAGTAGTAAATCAGTTATGACGATTGCTTTTCAGTTTGCATTTGAGGCCCATCTTCAAGAAAATGTAGCAGCTATGGCCCGGCAATATGTGCGAAGCATTATATCGTCTGTTCAGAGGGTAGCACTGGCTCTTTCCCCATCCGGTCTTAGTCCTCTCGCTGGTCTTAGGCCTCCACCTGGCACGCCCGAAGCACATACTCTTGCCCGTTGGATTTGTCAAAGCTATAGGTGTGTTTTATTAATGTAGCTTTATTTATTAATGACATCATAGTTTCCCCCCATTCACTCCTGGCATGACATTGAATTCATGTTCATATGTTCCAGAATCTTTTTGGGGATGGATCTTTTCAAATCTGCTAGTGAAGGAAGTGAACCCTTCCTCAAACCACTTTGGCATCACCCAGATGCTCTTATGTGTTGTTCTTTAAAGGTATTAATTATGACATGTTTAGTTGCGAGTTTCCTACTCTGTTCGCTAAATGTTCAGTTATGCTTGAGCTTTAGGGAACCGGTTCTATATATGTTTAGAGTTTGTCCAATATTAGCTAAAAATGACCTAACAAATTAACACATAAGACAATAGAATGCTTCTTCTTTAAGATTGACATTTTAGGAAGCAACTCAAAGTATAATACTTTATCAGTTCCGAATATCTCTATATGTATGTAGACACAATGCACGCCCCTTGTGAAAAAATGCATGGTCTAAGTGAGTGTGTCAATCCTATGAGAAAGGAGGGAAAAATTCAAAATTGCATGATCTAGACCATGTCATGAGTGGGGGTGTGGGCGAGAAGGAAGAAACATTAAAAATTCCATGCTCCGGGTGAGGTATGAGAAATAAAGTTTAAACATATAAAACATTGTACACTTATCATTTAGTTGACATTTTGGAATAAATCTTCAAATCTTAATAATGTGATTAAATTTTGCTCGAACGATTTAGACAGTGGCCTGCCGCTATGTGAATGTAAATTTAAAAATATGCAGTTCAAACCAGGAATATAGGAAAACAAGCCAACATAGGAGACATTAGACTACTCTCTTATTAGCCGAGCTTTTGGGATGGAATTTCATTTCTCAGTAATGTGCAAATGATATGTAAACGTTTTATAATGCAGGCATTACCAGTTTTCACATTCGCAAACGAAGCTGGACTTGATATGCTGGAAACCACCTTAGTTGCACTCCAAGATATTACTCTGGAAAAGGTTTTTGATGACAATGGCAGAAAGACATTGTTATCTGAGCTTCCACAGATTATGCAACAGGTATAAAGTGCACTAGTTGTGACATATTTTTTATTGCCTTGATGTGTCTGTCACTTAGTGTCATTCATTTCTTCTACGTACAGGGATTCACATGTCTTCAAAGTGGAATTTGTTTGTCAAGCATGGGGAGGCCGGTCTCCTTTGAGAGGGCGGTAGCGTGGAAAGTGTTGAATGAAGAGGAAACCCCACACTCCATATGTTTCATGTTCATCAACTGGTCCTTTGTCTGATTTTAATTAGCATTTTGATTAGGTGTCAGTATGAGAAACTAGATTAAGCATCAGTGGTTGAATATATACGGCAGACATGTGCTTATTTTTGCACTTCTAAACTGTCACATAGGCATATACTCTGTATGTAGGCTGCCACTTTTGTGAAGCTTGATACCAAGATAGTTTCTCCCTTTCTTTCTCTTTGTGCCATTGTGCAACAACAAGTTTATCTAATGTATTTGTGGATTGAAAAAGAAAAGATACATGTATAAATCACTTCAGCCGTTCCTATTTAATTTATTGGGCTTGACTTTGCATGGAACTTGTGAAAAGAAAAAAAAAATAGCATTATCAACCAAACCATTGTCCTTGAAAATGAAACGAATAGGTAGGGATGGATTTGGTTCGGGCCACCCGGCCCGTGACCCGGCCCGGCCCGGTACTGTGCGGGCCCGGGACCGGCCCGGTCGGGCGGTCCGGGACCGGGTATGGACCCGAACCGATGGGAAGGGGCGGGGGCGGGCTCGGTTCTGGATTTTTGTGACCCGGCCGGGTCGAGCCCGGGCCCGGGTCCGGGTCTATTTAAAAAAAAAAAATTGTTTGGTTTGGCTACTAGCAGTTGAGGCCTTGGGGGTGGGGCTGGGGACAACCCAAACGGCTATATAGCCGTTGGGTGGGGTAAAGGGGGGTCCGGGGGGGTTGGCTGGTAGGGGTGGGGGGGGTGGGGGGTAAAAAAACCTATAAATACTCCTACTCTTAAACATTTTTTCATATCTCTTCTCCAATTCTTCCTAAATCCTATTCTTAACTCTCTACTCTCTAATTCTCTTATTCTCCAATATATTATATATCTACTCTCTAATTCTCTTCTCCAAGAAGTTAAGATGGAAAATCAAAATGTCATTATACGGTATAATTTTGATAAGCAGAAGGACCCGAAAATCGGGATGTGGTACGCAATTTGCAAATGGTGCGAAAAAAAATGTATCATGGGCGCTTCAGGCGGATTCGGGATGACAATCAAGCATATGAAGTCATGTGACAAAGCCAAAGGATCGGGAGGTGCGGGAAGTTCCGATTGATTACAATTTACAATTTTCAAAATGTTTATCTTTTAAAGTTTGTTTTAATTTTCAAATGTAGTTCCTATTTCATTTCAAATAAATGCAATTGAAGTTTGTTTTTAATACTCGTATAAAACTATAAACTATAAAATATAAATTATAAAAAAAAATTAACCGGCCCGGCCTGAACCGGACCCGACCCGACCCGTGACCCGGGCGGGTGGCCCGGCCCGAACCGGACCCGTCCAACCCTCGGGCCGGTCCCGGGCCCACTTTTCTTGAACCGGCGGCCCGACCGGGCCTAGGCCCGGCTCGGGCCCGACCCGGCCCGAATCCATCCCTAGAATAGGTATACTTGGAGACTGTCCAAAAAGAGATCATAGAGGACGGTGGGAGAAATAAATAGTCAAAAACATGTGTTGTGGGAGCAATAAATAATCCACATGCCTTGATAGAGATGGTTGTGTAGCACACACGCTATGTTGCACGAAAACGCGAAAATCAAGAGGAGACGGTAAACGTCAACTTTTGCTCAAAAACGCTTGTTGGAGAGTTTCCGAAACAGAAACGTGCTATTTCCCGAGATCGGAAACGTGCTACATAGGTAGCAGGAGCATGGATCTCATTTTCATGAGTTTCTAATCATGTTAGAACGCAAAATTACATTTGTACACGTTTTTGGCTTACACTTTTTGTACTTATTAGATTAGATCGGGTCAAGTTCAACCATTGTCTATGAAGTTATGCCGAGATAAATCACGTGTGCGAAGGAATTAATGTGAAAAATTGTAAACTGTTCATAAGACAATTGCACACTCGTGCTCCGTCAATGTAAACAACTACTCCGTCTGTAATAATTTAAGGAAATATGGTTTTCTTTCGTATGAATTTCTAGTAACCTTGTTAAAATGTATGTTCTAAGTTTCACTATTTTTTGGCAAATTTTTCTAACCTATTATATTATCTGTTTTGTTGAGGCCAACATCCTTGAACTGGGATGAGATTCGAACATGTGACCTCCTCTTTGGAGGTGTCGCAGTGATGCCATCAAACCACAAGGTACTTGGCTTAAACACAACACTATGTCTACAATAATTTATGCATGTACATATAGATAAGAATTAAAAACATGTAAACAAAATCAACTTTATGCATGATATTGGACTTGGATATTCCATTACTATAAAATATTTCCTTACAAATTAAATACATTGTGGAAAAAATAACATTACTAGCTTCGGGAAAACTAAGTTTGAATTCAAAGTTATTTGGAACGCCATAGGATATAAGACTCCCTCAAATTCGTAGTACAAGATACACATCACTTTGTATCAATTTGTTGCAGTTAGTTTGAAGAGTTTTCTCTTTAAATATCACTACCTCCGTCCCCCTAATATTGACACAAGAAGAGGTGACTTGATTCTCAAAAAAGTGCGATTATGTGGTTGATATTGATTAATAAAGTGAAAATAAAGTAAAAACAATTAGAACCAGTGAAACATTACCAACTTTTGGTATGAGACAATATTAATGAGACAGACCAAAAAAAAAAAGATGAAACAATCTTAACGGGACAAATGGAATACTATTAGAATCCAATTTCCAAAAGTGACTACTTTTATATATGAACATTAATGTAACTAATAAGGTAATAAAATAGAAAACGTGTGAATTTCACTGCCAATTAATTATGTCACATATAATTTTTTTATACCACTACCAGTTTCTATGGGGTGAGTAGTTGGAGTTTTTTCCGAAGGAGGGCTACTTTGAAATCATATTTTACAAATTAGGGTAGTTTTAAACTTATTTCCCAAACAGGGGTGTTTTTTTTTTGCCTTGTCATCCGGTTATTTGCGATCCCATGTCACCCGCTCGCCACATCATGCCTCCATGTCTTCCACTCACATGTTTTTTTTAAATATAAAAAAATTAGAGGCTAGGGGGAGCCAACCCCAACACTCCTTGCTGGATTTTGGGTCTTCATCCACTCTACCAATGCAATTAGTTGTTACTTTGTTGTTTTATTATATATGAGTACTTATTAACTTCATTAAAATAATAATAAAATAATAATTATTTATTCAATAAGATAGAGTATTCATATTATCCCCTAAGAGGGATATTATGAATAACATACTCCGTATACAGTAGCATTCAAATTAGGCAAGCTTGACGGAAACCCCGTCCGGTCAACTTTATTTTGTACTAAAAATGATGTTTACAATTCAATTTTTTATTCATTGGTATCAACTATTACTTCCAATTGTTAGATCATAAAACTACAAAAAAAATCTGATCAGGAAATCGATTAAATTAATTATTTAAAATAATTGCACATTTATGTATGTATATTACTGGTGAGACTAGTAATACAGAATCCAGCTAAAGTTTCATCAATGATTCTTAGCTAAAAATATGAAGTGAAATACCCATGAAAATAAAACACTAACCATAACCTACAGAAGGGGTCGACAAAACATTCCTTGACGTTGAGTAACTTTCTCAACATAATATACATACATAAATGCGCAATTACTTTAAATAATTAATTTAATCGATTTCCCGACTGGAAAATTTTAGTATTTTTATGATCTAAAAATTGGAAGTAATAGTTGATACAAACGAATAAAAAATTGAATTGTAAACATCATTTTCAGTACAAAATAAAGTTGACCGGACGGGGTTTCCGTCAGGTTGCCTAATTCGAATGCTACTGTATACGAAGTATGTTATTCATAATACTCCTCTTAGGGGATAATATGAATACTCTATCTTATTGGATAAATAATTATTATTTTATTATGGTTATATTGAAAATATAGTAAACTTTATTGATGTTATATTAAGCAAAGAAGTTAATAAGTATATAATAAAACAACAAAGTAACAAATATTTGCATTGGTAGAGTGGATGAAGACCCAAAATCCAACAAGGAGTTCTCGGGTTTGACTCCCCCTAGCATTAAATTTTTTTATATTTAAAAAAAACATGTGAGTGAGATGACATGGAGGCATGACGTGGCGAGCGGGTGACATGGAATCGCAAATAATCGGGTTTCGCTGACATGGCTCGTCCGGCCGGATGACAAGGCAAAAAACACCCCTATTTAGGAAATAAGTCTAAAACTACCCTAATTTGGGAAATAAGATTTGAAAGTACACCTCGAAAAAACTCTAAGTAGTTGGGTAGTGATTAAAAGAAAACTATTCATACATAATTTTGTGTTCCATAAGTATAGAGTTAATATTTATGTCATTTCTAACTTTAACTCTGTTTGACCGATGTTTTGAATTTGCACAACTTAATTAAGGTATCACAATTCCTGTATATCAAAATAATGATTTTCTTCATATTTTACATTATTATTATTTTTGCATACTTGTATTTGATTTGACTCTAAACACGGTATCATCATCATTATCATTACCCTAGTGCCGCAAAGGCTCCCACCTACAGTGGGGTAAGGGGGTCGGATGTACGTAGTCTTACCCCTATACTAAAGTACAGAGAGACTGTTGCATGGACTGACAGTTGCTTCATAACAAAGAAGCGCAGACAGTTTAGTGAGCCCATTTGCTTTATTCCATCATATTCTCAAGCCAAAAAATAATGAGTTTTTGGCTCCATTGCAAATGATGGAATACTCTAAACACGGTATCATACATTTAATTTAAAGTACCTTAATTACGTCTAGACTGTCTAGCAAAATGTTATCGGTTCATTTTAATCATTACATCATTATATACTTTCTAACATTAAATAATTTTATTTTTTGAAATATTATGATCGCAACAATTTGGATTCATAACACATGAAAGTTAGAACTTAGTGTAAACTTTTACGGAAATCAAAGAATAATGAAGAGAAGTATTTTGATTCAGAGAAAATGAGAGCATTCTTTTCTCAAGGAAGAAGATGATTGGAAAATTAGAAATTAGGTCTAAAGCTTACAGTTCCTTTTATATCTAATACTAAAAATAGAATAGAATAATAGAAGACTAATATTTGCAGTTTAGTCCTTCAACTCTTGGTCTTTATTAATTTGATCTCCTTGATACCCCCCTCAAGATGAGCATGGATGTCCAACAGGTTCATCTTGACAGTAAATCTTTAAAGAGTGGATTTCCAAGAGCTTTAGTATAAACATCTGCAAGTTGACAATTATTTTTGATAAGTACAAGATTAATTAAACCAGTAGATATTTTTTCCCTAATAAGACAGCAATCAAGTTCAATATGTTTTGTTCTTTGATGTT